AATAAAGTTGAAAAGATCTTTGAAAAATTGAAAGCCAATGGGGCCTTTATTAAGTTAGTACCTAAGCTTTGTTTGATATTGAAATGCATATCCTCTAACCCTAACCATCAATGTTGCCAAATCTCCCATAGCAGAACAAAACATAAGCACTTCATTGATAAATCCACCATACAAATCCATAAAAACAAATTGTTTTCCAATACAAACATTTCAAAATTATAAAAAATAATCTTCATTTTGGAGGGATTATGGAGAATTAATCCAACAATATTCAAGGGATCTTGATTACAAAGTGTAAGTACTAAAGTATCTGATCCAAATAGCTGCAAAGCAATATATTAGTTATTAGATTAAAAAACAGAGAGATGATAGGTGTGTAGGTAGGTAGATAAATAAATTCACATTCTTGAATAATTTTTAAAACTCAAGATGACAGACAAAATTGCATTATCATTATAAACAAGGCTATGTCTAACATTATTCCTCAACTTCAATTTGATTACATTAGTTTATTTAATAAGGATGCACAAAGATAGTCCTGAATTTTCCCTTACTGCTTTGAATTTTTCTCCATTTTTCAAATATTCTTTAAATTAGCAAATGTTTAGTTTTTCAAAACTACATTAGGTATACTCTTGGGTATACTTGTAAAACTTGATAGTTCTGCTTTTGAGTTGAAATAATATTCTGACATTACTCAGCTGATGAACTTTTACTCAAAAAATACATTCCAATGGACAGATAAATGTAATAGAAGGTATGGCTTTCCCCTCCCAGTACATAACAGGGCCACGAATGGTGTGCATATCCTTATCTTCAAGCCAAAGAAAGTCAAACTGAATGTAGTATATTGCTTTCCAGAGGTTTAAGAAGCAGCAGGATGGATTTGGTCAGGGTGTATGTGTATGTGTATATCATATAGAAGCTCATGGAAAATATAAAACATAACATTACAAATTAAAAGCATAAAAATAGCAACTAACCAAAAATACAAAATCAAATTAAAACTAGATATGGGAATGCAGGTATGATGGTTCATGACTGCAAGTCACAGCACTGCTTAAGTTCAAGGCCAGCTGAAAGTTTGCAATGAATTTGGGGGCAGCCTATGGTACATTAGGCTTTGTTTCAAAGAAAAACGAAACTATACACACAAAAACATGGTATGAAGAAATTAGATAAAGACAGGAGAGGATAGGATTGAATCTGACCTCTAGCCTATATTTGGTCAATAAACATGAGTCCTACAACTATCTGTATTTTCTAGGGAAAATGCCCACAGAGTGTGAATGACATATATTATAACCATGATTGCAACATGATAAAAAAAAAAAACCAATAAGAGAAACAAAGGCACCTGAAAAGGGATCAGAAGGGAATGATTTAAGGATATGCACAGGCTTTCAACCATTTACTAGGAATGGTTTATCAAACAAAACTGTTTTAAGAAACTGTCTTAGATAGGGTTTCTACTGCCATGATTAAACACCAACGACAAAAAAGCAAGTTGGAGAGGAAAGGGCTTATTTGGCTTACATTTCCGTATTGTATTACATACATCACTAAAAGAAGCCAGGACATTGGGGGTGAGTGGAATTGCTTCCTAGTTTTGCTCCCCTGGCTTGCTCATCTTGCTTTCTTACAGAATGCGGGACGGCCAGTCCCAGGATGGCACCACTCACAATGGGCTGAGCCCATTGGTTGTTAGTTTAAAAAAATGCATCAGAGCTGGGTCTTCTGAAGGCATTTGTCTCAATTGCTGTTTCCTCTTAGACAGCTCTTATGTCAAGTTGACATAGACTAGCCAGCACAGATACTATAGGATGAACCACAATTCCCAAACAGCACCTATTCTCCCATTCCCGGCCGCAAAATTTGTGCATGGCACTTTAGCATAGTATCCAGGAAAAATAACAGAGCAAGGTCATCCTCTAAAATGCATGAATGTGAGAAGCTGCCCCTTGCTTACCACTTTCATTTGGCTCTGGAACAGCTAAAACAAGATGGTGATTACACGTTGTCCTACGCATCATTTGCTGCCAAACAGATGCATGTATGATCTGAGGCTCCACCTCCCTCTACTGAAAAACAAAACAAAAGTGTGTATTATAATTTTCAAAATACTGTGGCTCTTACTGAGTTAAGATTTATGCATGCTATCAAAACTGGGATTTCTTTACTTAAAAAAAAATCCTAAAGTAGCTGACAACAAGATACTTGTGGAGCTGAGAGAGGAAAATGGTAAGTTCAGCAAAGTCCTAAACTAAAGGATGAGTTGGAGGCCAGCATGGGCCCATTAATGAGATGATGTCTCAAGACAAACAAAAAAGCAAAAGGAGGCACATAGCTCATTGACAGAGTTGCTTGACTGAATAGGCAAAGCCCTAGGAGCAGTCTCCAGTAGTAGGAAGAAAGAAAGAAAAGAAAAGAAAAAGAAAAGAAAAGGAAAGAAAGAAAGAAAGAAAGAAAGAAAGAAAGAAAGAAAGAAAGGGATTAAAAGTCATAAAAATGAAAGGTAAAAGGAAAAGAAAAATAAACAAGTTACACACCTCCATTACATGCAACAACTAAAAACATCTTACCATAATCATTTAATGTATTTCCATGTTGAGAAAATGCATACATTCTGCTCCTTTCATTATATTCTATATATTTAGAACCATAAATGGCTCATTATCACAATTCCATCTTCAAAATGGAAGCTTTGTTATGATGGTAAGTACTGGGTTAAAACTCTGTGTACATTTTTTTATAAAGAACTTATTTTCCTGTATGTGTATGTGTCTCTGTGTGTGCACATATGTGCAGGTACTTACATAGGCCAGAAGAGGGGGCCAGATCCCCTGGAGCTGGAGTTCCAGGTAATTGTGGGCTGGGATCCAAACCCTGGTCCTCTAGAAGAGAAGTAAGTGCTCTTAACCATTGAGCAACCTCTCCAATCCCTGTGTACTTATTTAATAAGCAGAAGATTTTAATACTGAGCCTTTCAGGCAAAGTCATTCTGTCCTAGACCAAGGCAGGAGGTAACAACTGCAGGGACCCATTTGTACAGGGGTACAGGAATTTTCTATTAAAATTAAACCTGTTCTTTTTGGGGGTGAGCTGCCCTGGAACTGGATCCATAGACCAGGCTGGCCTTGAAGTCAAGGAGATCTGCCTGCCTCCACCTCTCAAGGATGAGATTAAAGGCATTCACCACTACCACCTGGATAAACCTCTTCTTTACCATTGTACTTTGTTTTGTTTGAAAACTATAACCATAGCAGGTACATACATTTATAATCCACAAAGTCAAGTTTCTTATATTTGCTTCAACACTATGAATAGCTTTCAATATTTGGGTTTAATTTGGGGAAGTATAATTTCATGTTTGGTTTGTCTAGTACTAAAAGCACCAGGAGATAAGGAACACGAAAGTCATTTCTTTGAAAAACAAAAACGGTGGGGGGGGGGGAAGAAGTTTAAAAATACTTTCAGCCTAAGGGTCAGTGAAAGATGTTATAGGCAAATCAACACGTGTGGTTTTCCAAGCAAGTGCTTATTTTTGTTTCACACTTCCTGAGTCTCTCAGTAGCAAATAGATGGCCCTGCTTAAACTAAATGGGTCACAAAACAAGTCACTTCATGAAAATGGCAAAGAGACTTGGGGGAGGGGGTGTACAGGGATCAGGAGGTTAAACGGACATTTCTGACTGCTCTTTGGTCATCATTTAAGCACTTTGAAGTGGCACCTGGTGGCACAGGCCTATAATCTCAGCTATTTGGGAAGCTGAGGCAGGGAGATAACAGGTTCAATGTCTGTCTGCCCGGCAACTTACTGAGACCTTGACTCAAAATAAGTAAAAAGACTGGCTTCTTTGTCTTCCTCTGTGGACTGGCAAGGCTGCTCCCTCCTCAAGTGGAGGTGATCAAAGAGCCAGCCCCTTAGTTCATGTCAGAGACAGCTCCTGTTCCCCTTACTAGGGCACCCACTTGGACACTGATCTGCCATGGGCGACTTCTGTGCAGGGATTCTAAGTTATCTCCATGCATGGTCCTTGTCTGGAGTATCAGTCTCAGAAAAGACCCCTGTGTCCAGATTTTTTGGTTCTGCTGCTCTCCTTGCGGAGCTACTATTCCCTCCAGGCCTTTCTTTCTTCCCCTTCTTTCATAAAATTCCCTCCCTATCATTGGACTGGGGGAGGGGCATAGGAGAAAAAAAGGCAGGGAGAGTGGGAGTGAGAAGGTATGTGGGAGGGGGCTACAGCTGGGATACAAAGAGAATAAACTGTAATTAATAAAAATAAAATTTAAAAAAATAAGTAAAAAGAAATGAAGTTAGTTTATCAGACTGTTTTTCATGAGTAGGCCCACGCACAAAGATACTCCTATGTATGCAAATAAGTCCAAATATTAGTAATTCATTCCTCAGCACTGATAAGTCACATTTGACTATAAATGCAAACCATGTGCTTCAATATTGCTCTCAATACTGAACCTTTAGATGTATGGCACTTTATTGAGCAATAGTTGATGTGGGTTTTGAATGTTTGTCTGTCTGTTTTTTAATGTTCCTGGTTTGGTTTGGTTTGGTTTGGTTTGGTTTGGTTTGGTTTGGTTTGGTTTGGTTTGGTTTGGAGTTTTTGCTTGTTTCTGTGGTACTAGGGTATGAACATAGTATTATACACTCTAATACAGAGCCATATCTATAGCTCTTTATTCCACTTTTTATTTTGAGGCAAGGTTTCACTGAGTTGCCTATGTTAATCGTGAACTTACTCTGTAGCTTGAGCAAAGCTAAAGCTTTAGATATGCCTGCTTCAGCTTCCTAAGCTGCTACAATTCCAAGCCAGTGGCCCAGACATTCAGCTTTAGTCACTAGCACTGTCTTTGTCTCTCTCTAAAGTGACCTATAGGTAAAGAAACCATCCATCCCAGCCAACCAAGAATGATCAGAGTTCACTGTATAGATGTGAGAAATTCTCAAAGAATAATAAGTAAAATATACAGGAAACTAGACATTAAACTGAAAAGGGAACATAAAAACAAAATCTCAGTATTATAACTGATAGTTAGAGCTAAGACATGTGCCTAGACTACCTTGTTACTTGTGTGACATATCAGTTCCACTGATCCCACTGATCTTTTTAACCAAATTTTACAGTTTATCATCTCCTTAACCTGTATGGTGCACTTACATAACTTCTCTATTGATGGGACTGGAGAGCTGGCTTAGTGGCTAAGAGTACCACCATTCTTCCAGAGGACCTGGGTTTAATTCCCAGCACCCACATGGCAGCTTACAACTCTCTGCAACTCCAAGATCTGACACCCTCACACAGACAAACATGTAAGCTAAATATCAATGCACATAGAATAAAAGTGATAAATTATTTAAATAACTTCTTTACTGAAAAAAAAACTTAAACAAATATGCCACTACATTCTTTTCTAAACCAAAAACATTTTAATTTAATTCTTGGTCTATCGTCCTAGTTAGGGTTACCATTGCTGTGATGAAACACCATAACCAAAGCAATTTGAGGAGGAAAGTGTTTATTTGGTTTACATTTCTACATCATTGTTCATCACTGAAAAAAGTCAGGACAAGAACTCAAGCAGGTCAGGAACCTGGTGGCAGGAACTGACGGAGAAGTCACGGAAGAGTGCTGCTTACTGGCATGCTTCCCATGGCTTGCTCATCCTGCTTTTGTATAAGACTGCAGGACCACCATCCTAGAGATGGTACCACCACACAAAATAGGCTGAGTCCTCCCTCATCAATCACTAATAAAGAAAATGCCCCACAGGCTTTTCTAATTAGTCATTTTTCTGGCTAGGCCCTTTGCACCACACACAGCCTGTCTTCTAAGCTCAGGCCAGCTCCACTCCATGGCTACTGTTCCTGGTGGTCACCTATGGTATTGGCATCTCCAAAATGCTGGGGTCTCTTGCTGCTGCCAGAATCATATGCAAGACAGTTAAATGCCATTGTGTTTGGCATAACCTGGAAGTATATGTTCTGATATGTTTTGTCTTGTTCTGTTTATCTTTTGAGATACATTCTCAGTATGTATCTCTGGCTGACTGTTAACAAGTAGACCAGGATGACCTCAAACATACATATAACTCCTTGCTCTGCCTTCTAAATCCTGGCATGTGCCACCACATCCTGCTACTACTATGCTTTCCTTTAACCCCCAGCACTCTATCTCTCTAACAGCCATGTGTAAATCTATATTAAAACCCTGTCTACTAAGCCCCAGCCTTGCTTCAAAACAACAAACATGGATAAAGTGACTTGCAATTCAGGCAAACTGGGGTGGGGGGCGAAGGTTGCGTCCCCACTTGAACATTAATACCAGCTTCCATCACAGTGTTTCAGTAAGTGTTCGGTGAGAGAATATATATAACTCTTTAACACAGTGCCTGGAATATAGCAAACCACTCTCTGCTACCACAATCACATGCACTAGTTTAACAATGAAAGGTTTAAAAGCTAGATGAAAAAGAGTCCAGTTTCACAGCACTCCTTACAACTGTGATCACTGTAAATGTGAACTCAAATAAAATACATTACAACAATTGTGTATCAGTAAACACAAGACATTTCTACTCACTGAAAGAGTGTAATCTGTGATTATGTGAGTTATAATTTGAGATATGTGATAAGCATTATTTAGAAGTCTGAACAAACATTCATCAAGAAGGAACATCATTGCCTATAAAACCAACAGTAAATAATCCATACAGAAAAGCTAATAAAATGCAAATAAGAAAAATCAGACAATAGCAAAATCTTAGTACTATCTTAGAATCTATTTTACGTCTAATGGCTTTAAGAGAAAATACACTTTAGTTTGTTCAATAAATTTAACTGACTTAGCAATATGCTAGCAATACACTCAAAAGTACCTAGATACATAATTTATCTGTTACAAAATAATGTGAATCCTAGAAAATTGATTCTGCAAAAAGGAGCCTAAGAGCTAGCTAACCAGAGAAAGATTTGTCAACCTGAACTCCGACAACCTCCCGAGTTGTACGAGGCTCTTGATAGCCTTCATAAAATGTCACATATGTGTGCATGTGTGTGGTTGTGGAAATAGCTACCCTTTACTAAAATCTAAAAAATTTGCCATTCAGAAATGGTAAAGGTGGCAAAACAACATTTTACCCACCAAGTTATCATGTTTGTTTGTTAGACAGGGTTTTCCTATGCAGTGTCCGCTGCCCTGGGACTCACAGTCCAGCTGGGGCTAGCCTCAGGTGATCTGCTTGCCTCTGCCTGTTTAGTTCTAGGATTGCAGCCACAAGACACCATGTGCCTATCTCTATTCAGATTCTCTAGTAAGAATTTTTTTCTGTAATATGATATTTTTATTCCAAACAATTTTAGTCCATTAAAAACAAAGACTCAAAAATAGAAACTCCTTTGAAAACAGTGACTTACTTTTCAAATGTTCTACTGAAATTTTTTCATTAACACCCACTGCTTTGGGGTCCATTGTGTAACTCTTTTCCTGGAATCCTTCAGTTGATAGGTTTTCACAAATGCTTTCAAAGCAGCCCGTGGCGTTCTGCAAACAATCAGGTGGTCCTCCAGATGCATCTGCTGCATATATCTCAAACAAACTTGTACCTTGGAAGTTAAGTTTCCCACCAACGACGCTTCTTCTCAGTTTTACATTTCCAGAATGTAATTTTTCACTAACACGGCTTTCCCTTAAGAGGCATCTAGAAACATTCCTCCTCTTTGTATGCTTCTTCTGTAGCTTTTGTTTGTCGGTGCTGTAATTAATACTTTCCTTTCTGTAACAGTGTTTGCCCAACAGTGGGCAGACAGGATGGCTCTGTGGTTTACGCCGGGCTTTCTTAGATCCGCTAGCAGGAATGCCACCAGGGTGGGCTGAATCCTTAGGATGCACGGCAAGACCGGAAGCCACTAGCACATCTGCTACACTGTCGTTCTCATGAACGACGTCCACTTCCGATACTGCTGCAGGACTATACTCCCGAAACCGAAAAACTAGCCCTGGTTTGCTCAGAAAATCTTGAAAACACTGTCTGACTTCATTATTCCACAGATTCCCTGTAACAGGCAAGGCACCAAACAGGCTACATGGATAGCTCAGCCTTGGCAAATTCATAATTTTTTCGGGTACAGATTTAAGATTTATTGCTTCTGAATTAGGTACATAAACAGAAAGTCCATAGTCAATCAAAACAAGATGTAAAGATTGATCAGAAACTTCAGAAATTTCTGCTCTGCTCCACTGGTCGTCAAACTCACTTTTAAACAAGCAACTTGAACCAGGAATCAGGAGCTCCAGAGGCAGCGCTTGCAAGGGCTCTGACATGTCTGAAAACAAGGTAAAGAGGTATTTCATTGTATCAAAGAAATCCTCTAACTGCACACAGAAGTCTAAGGGGTCGTGGACAGCAATAGCGATGCCGCAATACCACCTACCATTTTGGAGTGGTGCCCAAACAAATGGCCGGGTAGCACACGAAGACAGAAGGGTGTCAGGGCCCAGACCAAAAACAGTACCTGAAGACCGTGGTTTCTGTTCTTCCACATTTAAATATGCCAGAAGCAACATGCCATCTACCAAAATGTTTACTTCCCAAGCATGGTCTAAACATTTCAGGGAAAGGATGCTCATTTCCAAATGAGCAAATAAACACACAATGAACTCAAGGGTAGAATGTGTAAACCAAGTCCATTTATGAGGTACACCGTGCCTTAGAATATTTATGATCTCACCACTATGTACCTTGGTATTATTTATGTGCACTACTTCGTGCCGTCCGTGATCTATTAAAAAAGCAAGTACTTTCTCACCCATCCTCTGCTCTTCTGTTTGGGGCTGGGACCACTTTAAATATCTTTTAGATGTTGCCAAAAATTCTAACTCCCTTTTAATACTATCCACTGATAATAAACAGGGATTTTTCTTTTCATTGGTAATTAATAGTGCTAAATCTAATGCTTTCTGATTTGTTGGTACCGTCGCATGAAATTGCCCATTCTGTGGAACGTAAAACATTTCATCTTTTTCAAGGTGTCCATGTCTTAAAAGTTCAAAAGGAGTTTCAACCAGCTTTTGGAAGAATGGTTGGAAGAGAATGGCACCTTCACACGTGTTTACTCCTCCTGTCTTCCCGTCATTGTCTTCATGGATGCTAACTTTGTGAGAGGAGAGCTGAGGCGTCTGCAAGGCTGCCTTCTGTCGTTTCGGACGTGGTGACCACCTCAGACATTTCTTGATGACACACTTATCGCAACAGGTTATATTTACTTCCCACTTCTGATCATGCATCTTCAAAAATTCACAAGAAACTGTTCTGTTAGTTACTGCCAACGCAAAATAATCTGCAATTTTGCTTTTACATATTTCAATGGGCCCATTCCACCTTATCCTATGAAGAAAAGAATAAATTCCCAGCTGAGGGATAGTTAAGAGTTCCCAGTTAATTGAATAAACTTTAGCTCCATTTACTATGGCAGTATTACCATGATCAAAAACTTCCACTTCAAAGGACCCTTCAGGCAACACTTTCTTAGAAACATCTCTGGACATGGCATGGTCATTAGAGTGTTCTACATGATCTCTCACCAGAGGGCTCAGGCAGTACTGAGTTTTCTGGCTACTTGTCCTTTCATTTAGAGCATCAGTGAGTTCCGTTGCTTTATTTCTATTCCCAGCAAGTGGAACATGAAAACTGGCTGGATGATGGATAATGGGTACTGACCCTTTGACCTGAGTACTCAGGCTGACGTGGGGTTGAGGACTCTTTGTGATTGGAGGTGTAATAAGGATGCACAGGCTTTGAGAAGCTGATTGATTTACGTCTTTGGTAAATAATTTTGTTACCATCTCTCCTGACGTGGGACCCATTTCACTGTCTTTAAGAATGTGTACAGACCCAGGGGCAAATTTTACATGTTTGAATCCATCCTTCGAGGACTTCTTCAGTTTGCTTTTTGGAGTGGGTTTAACTTTATAACAAATGGATGGCTTCAAACGCCTGGTGTATATGCTTTGGGGATGCATCAATTGATCTGTTTTGTTCACAAAATGTGTTCTGAGGCTAGTTTTATTTATGGTACCGTGGCAACAGTTACTTTCCGTGCTTTCTTTCAAAGGAAGAGGGGACGCCTGATTTAACCTCTGATTCTTTTCTGCATGCCATGCTTGTTCAGAATGTTTTTCTCCATAAACATTAAGTAGCAATTTTATTGTCTGATTTATATGTTGATACCCATCATATAAGTCTATACCAAGCTGCCCATCTGATTCCCTAGACAGTATTACAGCCTTTAATGGTTTCCCTAAGAAATTGTCTTCAAACCATCTATTGATTTCTCCTGGAATATCGATATCTCGAAGATCTGACAGAAAACATTGAATCGCTTGCATGGGTGTAAACAGCAGCTCTGGAAACTGATCAGAAATGGCACAGAGCATATTTTCTTCTACAAATTGTTCATTCCCATAGTCCACGAAATAAACACAAGGGCCAGAAGACGACTCTGTTGGCTTTACCAAAGCTCTGTACGATAGCCCATCCTCTATGTATTTAGAGATGCACAGTCTCATTCTGTTCCACTCATACTTTGAACACATTTTGAGGCTAATCATCTCTGTGATTTTTGTCTCCAACATCTCTAAGTCTTTACTGTTTCTACAAAGCTGGCAAAAGAACTTTTTGGGACTATACACATGAGATATATACACATCTTCTTCACTTCCAATCTTTATATCAAAGGAAGAGTAATAGTAACTGTAAAGACTAACTGAAAATGGGAGTGGTCTTGATAAAACACTGTAGTGGGTGGAGCCACGATGAAGGAGAAATTCACTTGCACTGGTAAGTGATGATTGTAAATCCACCAAGTTGTATAAGCATCTAGGGTGTATGAGAACTAAGGCATACACGATACAGGTGAGTAAGCCTCCACATGAAGAAATGAAATTTTTAAAGTCTCTGGATGCTTCTTCTGGCCAGTCTAGTAGTTTACAAGTAATGGGCTCAACTAAATAGTTGAGACAACATCTGAAAGCCTGGGCTTCCAAAGCAAGAAAATGCGGGTTGATAGCACAGAGGTCTTTAATGAAAACTCGCTCTTGGTTGCCGTAGTCAACAAATATAAGTTCAACTTCTTGTTCTGATGCTTGAGTCAAGATGGCAGCCCTGTACCACCTCCCGTCTCTGGAATGCTTAGCAACACAAGCCACCTTCCCAGTCTGATACGGCTCTGGGTGGATGCTATAATAATCTTGAATTTGTTCCATCAGTAATTTTAAATCTTCTAACTTACACTGAAGCTGGCATGAAAAATCACCTGGGCCATGGCAATAAGAACAGTTGACTTTGAGAAGTTTTCCTGGTTTGAACACATATTCCTTATAAGGTGGTGATGAGTTGGGTTCAAAAAATAAGTTGAAAGAAAAATTTAAATCCAGGAACCTGCAAAAAGATGAGATGTTTTCTTTCAGCTTACTGGAATGAGTCTTCTCAGGCTTAGGTCTTTTGACAGGGACAGAGACCACAATATTTTTACCATGAAATAAATCTTTAGATTTTAACTTTAGCACTGAACAGTCTCTTCTAGATCTGGGGGAATCTGATGCTACCTCTGCAGATCTGGCATATCCAGCATATCCGGCTTGTAGCATTAGAGAGACAACATCGCTATTGTCAGGGGCTTCAATATTCTGAATATTCACCATGTACTTGTTGTCTCTTTTTGCTATAACCTGAAGCAAAATTGCTTTGTTTGAAACGATTTTTTTAAAATAATCTGTTGCTGCCTTTATCCATACATCTGTGACTGGAGATATGTTTGCAAGTGAACAGTGTATGGCTAAGGGAGGCAACTCACAAAATTCTGGAAGCAAAATTTTTGCATCAAAAAATGGTATGGAGTCAGTATTCCCATAATCCAAGAGGTAAACATTAACCTGATAATAATTCATGTCAGTGATGATGGCTCGGTAGAAACATCTATCCTTGCTATATCTGGCACAGCAGAATAGTCCAGGTTTAGGGTTTCTCAGAGTTAGTTCACCATTTTCAGGCGCATTATAAAACTTATTTATAGTTTTCATTATGTCTTGAAATTCGTTCTGATGTTTGTTAATGCGTACCCAGAAACTTGATGGGTTCAATACATTCACTACAAATGCTATGTAGGTAGCTTCTGTCTCCATTTTGACAGTTCTAATAGGAAAACCTGCTTTTAAGTCATCCTTTTCATTTAGTCCACCCACTGAGGGCTCAACATTTCCAATAAAACTATCAACTGCAAAGCTGTCTGTCTCAAAAGCACCTGCCTCACTCAAAGCATTGGAAATGGTTGACTCAAATGCAGAACAACGTATTTGTGTGCCCCTCGTCCTAGGCAGGCACTTAGAATTAACTGCAGATTCTTGAGACTGCAAAGTCACATAATACAAGCGTTCATCCTCACTGAACCAGTCAATGTGGGCATTTACTATGTGTCCTAAGAGGGCTTGCTTAAACACAGTAAGTTGCTGTTTTCTTACTTCTTGGTCTGGACTGTGTAAATATGTCAGAGAGCATGGAAATGAAAACAACGGTGCAAAAAGAAAATCCTGTTTCAGTTTCTTCACGTGAATGGAGGGTATAGACTCAGTGCTGCCATAATCCATGAACCAAATTTTCACTTGATTATCAGGCAGGAGCTGCTGGAGAATTCCTCTTTGCCACTGTCCATTTGTCGCTTTAGCAACACACAGGAGTCCAAAATTATCACAAGTGGGGCTAGTCTCTTGACCAGCTTTGTTGTAATGCACACTCATACAGTCTGTCAAGTCTTCTAGCTCTGGAATCCGCTTAAGCAGTTGACAATAAAATTTACTGGGGCTCAGTGCACAGGACACTTTGATGCTGTCTAAACCTCCCACTGGTAAAGATGGCTGGAAATTATCTAGGACATACTGAACATCAAGCAAAGTTCTATTGCTACTTAATGATGTCTCGGGTCTTGTGTGTTGTAGTAAGTCTGGCATGGGCTGGGGGATTTCCTTTAAGATTTCCACAATGAGACGAAATGTATCCCTATCGACAAATCTTCCTAACTGTAATTCAAGAACCCCAGATATAACTTTGGGTGCCTCAAGCAGAATCATTTGAAGAGGCAAAATAGTTTGCATATTGCCTTTCAGCTGTATTCCTACCAGTGACTTGAAATAATTCAAAGCTTTGGGAGACCATTTCTCTCCAACTGGGAGTATGTTGGCAAAGATGCCAAATATGACTCTGGGCGGGAGTTCAAATAACTTTTTGCAAGCGGAGGCTACGCGAGTACCATCCACCCTCAGCTCTTCTCCCCGGTCAATGAGAAGCACTGTGTACACTTCATTCTTCTTTCCCACAACTCTTCCTCTCTGCCACTCTCCAGTCGCTCTTTCCTCCACCAGGCAAAACTCATCAATGCCCACATTGTCCTTCACTTTGGGGATATACTGTATTTCCCTCTGCAATATGTGATAGTCAAACTGACACACACAATTATTTTTGCCTTGAAATTTCACAAGAATATCCTTGGGAAGACACTCAATACGTAAAACTGTCAGATCTGCATCTAAAAATGTTGGCAATAATGATGTAGACTCCATTTTCTAGAAAGAAAACAAACATGTACAAATTAGCTTCTGATGGGTGGCTATATCGATATTATATAAAAAGCTTATGTAAATTGAAGTAGATCAGTAACACTGTATTTGTTTTTACATTTATTTGTTGGGGGGCGGTGAGACCCACATGACAAGGTATTTGAATGGAACTCAGAGTTCAACCTATGGGACTTGGTCTCTCCTTCTACCATGTAAGCTCTGGACATCAAACTCACATCATGAGGCTTGGTGGCATGTGTCCTTATTCACTGAGCCGTCTCACCAGCCCTTACATTTTGTTGTGTTTTGTTTTGCTTATCATGTCAGACATGTTGGCAAAAACTGTATGCACTAGGCAAGATGCTGTTGACATAAACAAGATGTTGCTGAGATAAACACTGTCCATTACACATTAGACAAATTTCACTGAAATGACAAGATAGGATAGTGTAGCGCATTATTGGAACATACAGAGGTAATCCTTACTTCCCTGAAAACTTAGCAAATTTCTAGTATACAGTAGATGTGGCATAACAGAAAAAGAAAAGCAGATTCACCAGTGACCTCATTCTCTGCCTAGGAAAAAAAAAAAAAAAACAATCTGCCTAGGGTGCTTCTAATAAGCAACAATTCAAAGGGATGAGAGAAGAAAACAGGCAAATGCAAATCAGAAAAGAGGCAAAGTTTGCATTCTTTCTCTTGTGTTAACTTGTGATTCTTAGACACTACCAATATGTAGTCCCAAGGTTTGGTGGGGGTAATAAGCTGAGGTCTGCATGCCACTAGGGTAGGACAATCCTGGAAAGTCAGGGAAGCCTGGGCAAAACTAACCCTGGTGGGCCAGCCACAAACAGAAAGAAAAATCTTTAGCTATGAGAAATAGCTTTGTTTCTATTTTGATCTCCGGATTTAGGGGATTCTAAAATTAAAGAAAGGATGCAGAAAGTTTAATATACTCTCAGTGCTGTAGTTTGGAGTTGAAGTATACCCCAAAGTGGCACATGTGCCAAATATTATTATAATAGTAATATCATGGCTTGGTCCTCAATTGGCAGGTCCAGTCACTGGACATTCCATACTTTGAACAGCACGGCAGATTTTCTTAGTATTTAAAGGGAACCCAGCAGAATGCCTTTGTCAAATGTAAATATCGAGAATGGTATTAGCCAATCCAAGCCCAAAGACACAAGGATGTAGTATGAACTAGTTCTTATAACACTAGAATCCTAACCCTCCAGCCCATTTTTATTCCTTCAGACGATCCAAGTATTCTTACAAACTTGCTTCATAACGGGGGGGGGGGGGAAAAAGAATCTAAGTCTGGCTTACCCACGGCTCTCATCTAAAGCCAGTAATTCCCCAAAATAAATTGGTGAGGAATTATCCTCCAACTGTGTGGTAAGTTTCCCTAAGAAATCAAGGAAAATCTTCATAGTAGACAGACATACTGTTACATGTACTTTATCTGAAGAAAAGGTTAAAAATACATGAAGATTCATGGGCAATAGCTAATGGTTTCCAGAGGGCAACAGGAATCCATAAAAGACAGCCTAGGAGATGTATCACATAGGGATGTGACAATGCGGTTTGTAGATGAATTCTCGAATAAAGTTGCTCAACAAAGACCTACATTGTGGAATAATTTTTTTTTAATAAATTCTTAATTGTGTAAAAACAAATGTATCCTGTGGGTGTCAATCAGCCTCCTACACCTGGCTGCCCAAAGCTTGCTCAATGGGATCATAAAGAAAGTTTCTGTGTCATGGACAAAGCCACACCTTCCTGCATCTACGGACCAACTAAAATTTAGAGAACATTCAGGAAAAATATGTAAGCTAGGAATGCAAACACAAATCAATTATTTTGTACAATGAACAGCTGGGTCATTTCAAAGCATAATTTAAGACACTAAATTTAAGACACTCTAGATCCAACCCTCTCTCCCTGTAAGAGTCCGGGGAGTCATCACTCACTATTCTATAGGAAGTAAATTGTTAACATGATTCAGACGTCACCTTTCACCCGAACTTGAAGTGTGGAATTTGACAAACTTGTTTTTGCTTCTACTCAAACATTAAAACTATAAAATGAGAGGTTCAATTAAATTAGGACTTTTCAAATGTTTCAGCAAAAACGTCATTAAAGATAAAAATAGATAGAGATCTATAAAATTGATTGATTGGTATTCTAATAACCTCAAGTTTATAAAATTTAATTGTAAAATCGCCAAATGGGGATACAATCATTCTAATGAACACAAGTTCACATAACACATCTTATTGCATCCCATAGCACAGTGTTGAAAACATCAAGTTTATACATCTCTAATTGTCCATCTCCTTCTACAATTATGTGACAATCAGCACAGGAAGATGCAAACAAAACATACAAAGGAGTCTAACAGTTCTTCAGATGGACTTGTGTCCTCCTTTACTTTAAAACTTAGTATACAACTGAATATTTTGGTTTTAAAAAGTTAATTGCATCTATGCTTTTTAATTAAATTCAAATTCATAGTATTTTTTCTTTTTTTATTAAAATGTATTCACGTTGTATCCCAGCTGTAGCCTCCTTCCTTGTTCCCTCCCAGTCCTACTTTCCCTCCCTCTTCTCTTCTCATACCCCTTCCCCAGTCTACTGAGACCCTAGCCTATCACATCTCATTAGAGCTGGCTGTATTGTCTTCCTCTGTGGCCTGGTAAGGCTGCTCCCCTTTCAGGGGGAGGTGATCAAAGAGGCAGACATTGAGTTCATGTCAGAGACAGTCCCTGTTCCCCTTACTAGGGTTCCCTCTTGGAGACTGAGCTGCCATGGGCTACAGCTGTGCAGGGCTTCTAGGTTATCTCCATGCACGATCCTTAGTTGGAGTATCAGTCTCAGAAAAGAACCCTGGGCCCAGAATTTTTTTGATCTGTTGCTCTCCTTATGGAGCTCCCGTCCCCTCCAGTTCTTTCTATCTCTCCCTTCTTTCATAAGATTTCCTGCACTCTGCCCAAAGTTTAGCTATGAGTCTCAGCATCTGTTTTGATACCCTACTGGGTAGAGTCTTTCAGAGACCCTCTGTGGTAGATTCCTGTCTTTTTCCCTGTTTTCTCCCTCTTCTGATGTCCATTCTGTTTGCCTTTCTGAGTGAGGATTGATCATCTTACCCAGCGTCCGCCTTCTTGCTTAGCTTCTTTAGGTGGACAGATTTTTGTATGTTTATCCTGTATTATATGTGTAATCTCCACTTATAACTCAGTATATACTATGTGTGTCTTTCTGCTTCTAGGATACCTCACTCAGGATGATCTTTTCTAGTCCCACCATTTGCAACCAAACGACCCTGAGATTTCATGTTATACCCATCAGAATGGCTAAGATTAAAAACTCAAGTGAAAACACATGCTGGAGAGGTTGTGGAGAAAGGGGAACCCTCCTCCATTGCTGATGGGAGTGTAAATGTGTACAACTACTCTGGAAATCAATCTGGCACTTTCTCAGAAAATTAGGAATAGTGCTACCTCAAGACCCAACTATATCACTCCGAGGCATATATCCAAAAGATGCTCAAGTATACAACAAAGACATTTGCTCAAACATGTTCATAGCAGCTTTATTTATAATAGCCAGAAGCTGGAAACAACCCAGATGTCCCTCAATTGAGGAATGGATACAGAAATTGTCATACATTTACACAATGGAATACCACTCAGCAATTAAAAACAAAGAAATCATAGTATTTTTTTTTAATTGTAAGTATTCAAATCATAATAAGTATTCAAATCAAACCATAGACATATATTCCTGTCTCAGTTTAGGCCAATCACACTTCAAGAACTTGCTGAGTGTATGCACCTAGAGCCCCCAAGTGTCTACTGTATTGAAGGGCATAGGTTAAAACCTATTCTCATTTTGCTTTTTATGGACTTCATTAAATAGCTTAAAGATGCTGTCCTTCACACTTATAATATTTTACATATTTAAACATGTTTATGTACATTAGTTTAACTTATTTTTTACAATACTTTTTTTTTTCATTGTTCAGGCCACAAAACTGAAGGTCAAGAGGTTCAGAAGCATCAGCCCAGGTTTTCTGATTTTCACCCCCACTCTATTACCACCTCCAGTTTTTCCCACTACTATGCTATATGAACCACATAATTATCAGGAAGAAGAGGAAGAGGATGAAGAAGAAAGTTCCAAATACAAGGAAAACCATGGCCAATAGGATCAGCTTATCAGTGCTTCCTTTTTCAGCTGTGGGCTAACTCTGGTGAACTCTGCCCACAAACCTGAAGTCACTCTGAACTAAATCTTGCAATTTGGAAACAATTAGACAGCCCTAAAACACTTAAACGGCAATTTTACATCTAGATGCATCACCAAGAAAGCCAAAACCATACATCCATACAAAATCATGTCCACCTGGACGATGAGGTTATGGGACAGATTACATTGTTATCTTCAAATGCTTGAGGTGGTTGCAATTTTTTAAAAGAACATGTATCCATTCATTTCCCATGGATTATACTTAACAGTTATTTCTTTTAGAATTCTCTAGTTCCTAATTTTTTCTATAAACAATCATATAGCTTTTCTCTAACACTGAAAAACCATCCTAAAACAAAAACTGTCTTCAGAATGTTGAAATAGGGAAACTTAGGAAAACATCCGCAACACTTCCAAGGAAGATGGGCGATCAGGAACAAAACAGAAACCAAATCTATAAAGGAAAAGGTGAGTGTATATACGCCTACAAAAGGAGAGTTTCTCATGAATAAGTGACAGGCTACCTTAAAAAATGTAGCATGCAATAAAAACTAAAAAAAAAAAAAAAAAACAATTCAGAAGCCTAAGAAGCATAAATTTAAAAAGTTATTATGCCTCTTTCTTCTATTGTATATCAAAACTGCAACTGACTGCATCCAGATTAAGTAAGGATATAGAAAGAAAAAACTCTTGGGGGTCCATGTAGGGGAATAAAGTGCTATTTTCATCCTGTAAACTTAAAGTATCTATTA